TCTACGACAATTCTGTGTTGAATGCAGTACTTTGGGACATCTTGCATTATTCCCTACTGCATCGTACACAACATCAATATTCCACTTGTATAGGATCTTTTCCTGTTTGTGTGGATACAGATTGTCCGACAGACTTGCGTCCGGCAGACTTGTGTCGAATCCCGACATCATGATCAAAGTCCGATCGCACGTGTCGAAAACCTCGTACTTGAATAGTTTCTTTTGGAACGTAAAAACTCATATTTCGTCATATCCCAACATTCACGTAGCGCACGTAGGAAACGTTCTCGACGTGTATCGCCATAAAACATAGAATGTGCGCCCGCCTTGCGTTCCGATCCTTCCCACTTCTCTCTTCTTCTTCCCCCCCCCTTTTTTTCCTTTCTTTCTTTCTTTTTTTCTTTTTCTTTTGATTCTTTTTTCTTTTACCTCCCACGCCTGCGCTTGCTGCATTTTGGCCCTTATCTTCCGCTTTCTTTGGAAAGCAATCGCACCCGTACTAGTGGGCCTCTCTTTTGCACCATTGCTCGGTACATTATTCTGTCTGGGTTTTATCAGTCCATGATTTCTGAGTCCTATGAGTCGACTTCAGTGCAAGCCAGTCCCTAATTTAGTACCTTTGCTACCATGCCAATCCTACATACCCCTAGCTAGCTAGTATGTAGCATTCTCACACTTTCAATGGTAGCATACGTATGCGATTTGACAGACAGGACTATATCATGCGATCCAAGCTCAGGAGTGGAGGCGCTGCCAGGTAATCTTCGATTATCTGCAAAGTGGCCCGTCTTCTTTTCCCCAGGCAGCTTTGCTTGTGTGTGGACGTGAAAAATGAGATGTACGGTGGGGTTTGGTGTTCGGGTGCAGAAATTAAGCTATTCATTTAGTTAACGTTTTTGGTCACATCGTGTGGAGCCTTAGGCCGATTCTACGCAAACCCGTTTTAACGACTTTCCGACCCGCCAAACGTGCCAGCGTGAAAAAAGTGTTTCTACACGGGCCGAAAAATGAAAAAAACCATTTGGCTGGCACGAAATCAAAATCGGAAACGTTGGGCATTGCCCATGATGACTTGGATCCTAGAGTTTTGTCCGAATCCGTTCGTTGACAAAAATGTTCCCAATTTGCCGGGCAAATCGGGAAGATTTTCAGCTTCCAACGGATTACGAATTTGAGGCTTCAGTAAAGGTTGGTAGGGTTTGTACGTAGGTACATAATTTACATACGGTATTTTGGAATTCGTTTTCGGATTTGTTGACCGTGAGTATTGGCCTCATGGTCAATTTCCGGCTGCCCGAATCCGAAATCGTTTTTTCAGATTTGGTCCGAAATGGTATGCCTTGAAGCCTCTTTTGATAGATTCACCACAAGAAAAACGATGCACAGCTAACAGTAGCTATAGGTTGTTATCCTCTATCTTGATTACATGCAGTGGTTTGAGCACATTGGTTTCTTTGGTTTCTTTGGTCTCCGAATTGACCACTGAATCCCCAACAACAATTT